GTATAGTTTTTTTTTTTTTTTTTTCGCAGCCATATATCACGCAAGGCAACTCTGTAAGTTCCGAATTTAACAAAAAAATGCCGCATCTCACCAAGGCAACTTTGTAAGGTCCGAATTTAACAAAAAAAAAATACCGCAACTGTAAATTTCAAATCTCCTAGAAAAAGGATTTTTTATTTTTTTACAAATGGATATTACAAAAATTAAGCAAATCAAACCTTAAAACCCTAACTAATCATCACAATAGTTGCTTCTATTGGCCAAAGTCACACCACTAGCCGTCTCCTAACCGTGTTGTGGCTCGCGGCCTCCGCCTCCCAACCATTTCAGATGGTGCAATCCCAACCCTAGATCTGTGAGTATGTGAGTATGTGAGGAAAAAAATAAAGAAGAAAACATGATGGAAAGAGAATTAAAAGAGTGCTAAAAGGATAGGAAGAGAAGAAAAATTAAAGAAGAAATCTGTTGAATGAAAAAAGTAAAGAAGAGAAAAAAAAGGATTAGATGATGAAGTGACGATGTAGTGATGAGACAGAGTGGGGGAGAAAAAAGAAAAGGAAAAAAGAAGAGAAAGTTCTTTAAGTGACTTATTATTTATCCCAATTTTTACTACATATTGACTGGGCCAGGTCGGGCCAGGCCGGGGCGGATCGGGGCGGGCTGACATTTATGCCCCGGACCTGGCCCGTTTATGTAACGGGGCGAACCTGTCCTGGCCCGTCTTGATAACGGGGCGGGTCCAACTCGCCCCAAAAACTGCAGGCCAGGCCAGGTCGGGTCGGGTCCGGGCTAAATTGACATCCCTAAATATAACTCGAGAACAAAAGAAAAAAGGATTTCATGCTAAATAATTTTATGAAAAGCAATATAAAAAAATACACAGAATTTGAAATCTTTTGAATTTTGATACACAATATAGCAATCACAAATTATTACGTCTCGAGTCTCATCAGTCGACATCAATAAAACGAAAAAAAAAAAATTAATAACGCACGAAAATTGACACCAATCCACTGATGAGTCAAAGCCCAAAATTAGAAATAATAAGAAAAAAAGGCCCAAATTCTCAGGCCCCAAAAGCCAGCACCGCCGTCTTGCCTCTCGGCGGCGGTTTGGACGGCATCCCTCCTGGCACCTCCGGCAAGCATCTCACCGGATGCGGCCCCACGCTCACCGCTTTACCCTGCCGGCAGCTCATCAGCAGGAGCCCCCCTCCGTTCCCCTTCCTCCCCCCGCCGTTCCCGGCGCAGACCTCCTCCTGCCGCCCCTGCCGGCGAAACGCCGCGCCGCCGGTCTCCGACGCGGAGACGGAAAAGTTGGAAACGCTGGCCCTGTCAACGCCCTCGGCCGTGCTCACGCTCCAGGTCACGCTGACCTCGCTGGGCGCGTAGCACTCAGTCGCCGCCACGCTCGGTGTCGGCGGCTCGTCCAGGCTCGTCCTGCCCGCGTACCGCCTCGCGTTGAAGATCGGGGCCTCGTCCAGCGAGTCTCTCCGGCGTGACGTCAGGTTCGACGTCGTCTGGGTCGCGAAGCTCTCCAGCTCGAACAGATCTGAGCTGGCGTCGCTCCCTACATCGTCTTCCGTGCTCGCCACGCGCGCGATTGGGCTCCCCAGGTTGAAATTGCGCCGTCCGCCGTCGACGGCGGACGGGTTACTCTCCGCCGGCTGGAACACTTCCAGCGAGTTCCTGGGCAGATCCTCCCCCAGACGTCGGATCCCAATCGAGCCGGGTCTCACCGTCTGTGTCGGACCCTTCAGGATCGGGAATGAAAACCCGTCCGCGAACGGCCTCCCGGACGCGGATATCCGCTGCTGCCGCGGCGGACCTGCCGCCACCAAATTAATCTCCGGCAACAACAGTGTGCCGGAAATCGGTTTCGCCGGTGGGATTTTGACAAGTGTGCTGTTTGTGCTCCCCGTCTGACCCGGACCCGAATCCACCGCCGTGGTCGCCTCCTTGACCCGAATCGATTTCTCACCGGCGCAGCAGCAGTTACGCCGGAAAACCCACTTCTTTCCGGAATTTCTCCTCCGGCTGTTCTTATTATTACCACCCTCGGAAGCAAAGTTTTTTACGGAGTCCGCCGTGTAGCCCGGCGTGTTGACCAAAAGTTCCGTTTGACTGTTCCAGCTGGCCTCCGACGTGGCCGTCGGTGTCGCGTGGAAAGACGACGTCCTGAAGTTCCGGTCGTATCCATCGGAAGAAACGGACGACGGCCGATTTTGCTGAATTTTGATGAAATCCCCAGAATTAACAACAATATTATTATTATTCTTGTTTTTGTTTTCGTCAAAATATTTCCGGGCCTCAAAAATACTTATTTCGGGCTCATTGTTTGCTTCGGGCTTGGTGTAGGATGGTAAGGATATGTCTTCATCATAGTTTGGATTTTTAGATTGGAAGAAGGATCGGAAATGGAGGGAGGATTGTTCAATGACGGGATTGTGCTGCGAGGGGTTGTACCTTGGAGGCTTGGGTACTACTTTTGGTAGATCCATGTGCATACAGTTTGATTGTAGCTGAGGAGAATTGAACTATGGAGGATTTTGATGTATGGGTAGAGTTGTTCTTAGATAATATATATAAAGAGAAATAATTTAAAGTTTGTATTGGGGATTAATAACAATTTTAAAAAAATGAAAATAAAAATACTTGCTTGTCATAAATTATACTATTATTATAGTCATAATGCACTACCAAAAATGATTTATTTAATGAATTATCAAAACTACACTATTTATTGGATTATCGCAGGATACACGACAAACATTCATTAATATCTTTCTTATAGCATTATAAAGTCAACAATTCAAATTTTATCAATACATAATTAGTGTAGCAATCACGTCAGACAAGTATGAAAAAAAGAAAAAGAAAAATAGTGTTGGTAGAGTGCGCAACCATTAAACAACAATAATTTTTTTTTATAAAAAAATACATAATTTTATAATGAAATTTTATACATTTATTTATATTGTATTATAAAGTATGACATTTTAGTACTAAAAAATATATGTTTTTTGTTATGGTTTTCTTATTATGTTTTTTATTATAAAAATAAATAAATAAGGAGTTTTGAAGTATATAAAAACTTAATCAATGACTATTAAGAATAGTTGATATATGTAATTTTATTTATATCGTTCATGGGAGTTACCTTTTAGAGGTTTTTCCAGTATCTTACTATTTGGGCGGTTTTTCATTGGATAAGATTATGTATATTATAGTAGAACTTTACTGTAGATGGTCCTCCTTTGAGTAGAAACCAGAAAGGTCTTCAACTACAAGATACAAAAATATACTGTCTTGTAATACATGATAACATGAATGTTACATAAGTAGCCAATAATTATGCATGTCACATTTTATTTATTGTTTTCTTCACCAATAGCCATATGTGGCTTGTAAATAATCTAAGTATATCAACTACTAAATATTCTATTGGAACCTTTTTTGGAATGATAATTTGTTGTTGGGCAAATTAAACAATTTAGATTAGAACCTTTTAAATTGAAACGTTATATTTGAAAAATTAACATAAACAAAAGTAAGATATTTTATACCATAACCTAAAAATATATAACGTGTTGACTTGTTTAATGAATATGCCTGTCTTACACAAGATTTGTGTTTTGAAAAAACGTTAATCTAAGAAATTTAATCATTTGAAGGAATTATTGAAGTTTTTGAGTTAGGTACATAGTTTAGTGTTCCTAATGAAGCTAAGTAGCTAACTTCCAAGAAAACTAAGATTTTGTTTAATCATCATGTCCATCTCTTTCAATGATGGTCTTAGATTGCTGATTGTGTTATTATCATACACCATATATAATATAAGATTTATTTTGATCTCTTTTTTTGCATGATTTGCTCTAATTTGATAGATGCACTTTGTGATTATAGGAGTTTACTGGGTCCCTGTATTTGGGGAATTGATTTATGGGTGCATAATGATATAGAACTAGTTGATCTTGTGCACATGCACAGATATATATTATAAAGTATTATAAATTATGTGTATATATAATGTTAAAATTATAAATAGATAATATATACATCACATTTTTAAATTGATTATTAATAAATAAACAATATACATTTAAATTACTTAACTACGAAATAATCTATATATTGATTGAATAAAATATTTTTTGTTACTTTGATGCATACTTTTTAAAACCGGCCCGAAAATTGACCTGGGAAAGTCTCCGGGTCACCGAGTCAATTGCTGAACTGGATAAGTGATTATAAAATTTTTAGAATTATATATATAGTATTTTTGACATATAAATATACATAAAAGCAAGAAAAATAAATGTTTTGTATATAAATTTTGTACATCAAAGTGTTAAAAATATTGTATCTCACAATAAATATTTACTATATCAACATATTTACATAGTTTTTATGTTTTATACAAAAAAATATTTAAAAAAATTAAAACAATATATAGGGACCGGGTCCACTGGGTTGACTCAGTCGGGTCAATGACCGGGCCGACCGGGTCAAGGCCAGGTTTTGACCGAGTCAAATGTTACCCTGTCCAAATAGCCCACCCGGACCTGTTCCAGTTTTGGGTTGAAAAATAATGCTTTGATGGATCATGACCAATAAATTACCTACAAAAATATTAAAACAATAATATTTATTGCATAAATTGTTTAAGGAGTTTTTTTATGTCATTAAACTAATTATATAATTAAAAAATTAATATTATATTTAGAATAAATAGCTTGAGTGCAGTATAATTTTTGATGAGTATGTAACTTACATATACCATTTAGTGTGAAATTATAATTAATTAATTTTAGTAATAACTATTGTATGATAGAATAATTAATAAAATATGATTAAACTTAATGAATATACAATTACCTTATTAAGCCGAAAACTATATGGGCGGGAAAAGTGAATTATCCCCATCAATTGGATAGCCTACAATTATATGTACTAGTATTCGATCCTGTGCACAAGAACATATGTTTTTTTTTTATTTATTTTTTTTTTGCCAGAACGATAGGACATGAACAGATTTTTAAATTATTATAAGTTATATGTATGCATATAACATTAAAATCATAAGTTAGATAAAATAGTATCATATTTTAAAGCTTTTGTCATTAGAAAAAATGAACATTATAGAAGTATTCAATTTAATCACTATATTGAGGTATAAAATAAAATGGATAATATAGTTTTTATAAATTTGAGAGATCCTGACGCATTAGTTATCATAGAAATTATTATAATTATTTATAATTGTTTTAGAGGCTTGCTTATACAACTAAAGCCAATTAGCTTATTAAATAAATGCTTAAGAACAATAAATAATTTAATTAAAAAATTTGCAATATAATTTTTCATAGTTATTGAACTTCCATATATCATTCAATGTGAATTATAATTGGTTAGTTTTAGTAGTTACTATTATATAATAGAACAATTAAAAATATGACTATAATTTAATTAACCATTATTAAAAAAGTCATTGATTAAGTTTCACTTACCGTTTAAAACAAAGTCATTGAATTGCAACGAAAAATGTGAAAAATTCAAATAGTTTTATTAATTTTTTTAAGCAATTATATATATGAATCAAATATTCATTGATTAGTGAGTTGTTTAAGGTTTTAATTAAAGATAATAATAATAATAAAGTAAACATGTTTTTGTAACCTCTTTTGGAGGGAAAATAAATGAGGTTTTATTAATTGCTTTGCTAGCAATTATATATACTAGTATTCGATCATGTACACATGCACAAATGTTTAAATTATTATAAGTTATATATATGTATATAATATTAAATCATAAGTTCGATAATAGTATCACATTTTAATAATTTTGTTATAAGTAAAAATGAACGTTATAAAAGTATTCAATTTCATCACTACATTGATTGTATAAAATAAAATAGATAATGTGGTTTTATAAATTTGATAGATTCTGATCTATTAGTTATCTTAGAAATTATTATTATTATTTATGAATTTTTAAGAGATTTGGTTATATCATTAAAATCAATTAGCCTATTAAAAAATGCTTAAGAGCAATAAATTGTTTATGAGAAAATTTTGCAATATAAATTTTTATAATTATTGAACTTCCATATATCATTTAGTGTGAATTATAATTGGTTAGTTTTAGTAATTACTAATATATAATAGAATAATTAAAAATATGATTATAATTTAATTAATCATTATTAGAAAAACATTGATTAAGTTTCAATTACCGTATAAAAAAATATTTGATTGAAACAGAAAAATGTAGAAAATTCAAATAATTTTATTAAATTTCTTGTTAACAATTATATATATGGACCAAATATTCATTGATTAGTGAGTTGTTTAAGGTTTTAATTAATAGAAAAAAATAATAAGTAAAGTTATTTTTGTAACCTCTTTTGGAGGAAAAATAAATGATGTTTTATTAATTTCTTTGTTAGCAATTATATATATAGATATAGATATAGATTTTTTTTTTTTTTTATTTAATATGTTTTTGGAGCTAAGAGTTGAGCTTGCATTTTCAAATATACCTTTAGTTTTGCAAGATTTGATGGGAAAGTTATATTACCATTAATTAGTGACTAGTATAATACTCGTGTACTACACGAGTGTCGAGTTAAAAAATATATGATAAAAGTTATTGCTAAAATAATAAATAATTTTTTATTTAAAAATTTTGATAGACTAATTGATGAAAAAAACAAAAAAAAAGAGGAACAGACAGTGCAGTAAGTGATTTGTAAATCTTAGTTTAGGAGAGAAACATGAAAGAAAATTATAATATGGTAATATTGTTACTTGTCCAAACTAAGAAGGAAATGTGTACTAAGAGAAAAAAAAATAACAAAATTAAATATACACTTACTAAGTTTGAAAATAGTTATTTATGTCTAATACCAAACCTAATTCCAAAGCAAAAATGAATATATAAACAACATTACGAAACATAGATTTTTGCCATATCAGCATCCGAAGCGTGAGAATCTGTCACTTTGGCTCAACATGTTTTGAATTAATATATAGGGAGGGATATCTTGACAAAGATAAGGACTTTGTTTGGTAATTATTGTTTTGAAACTAAATTAGAGGATATGGAGGGTAAAAAAGAGTTTTGACCCGACGTAAACTCTAATTTTATTATTTGGTAAATAACTATTTGAAATAAATTTTTGGATTCAAAACTCTAATATTGAAAAAAAAAACTCAATATATGAGCTTCCTGGAATGAAAATTATAGATTTAGTTTTTTTATTACATATCTCACGACTAATTATTCCCCAAACGGTTTGGATAATAAGCTAATTCAATCATCAATTAGTCGAAATCTTCTAATTCAATCAGCAAGTAATAAACATCAACTAGTTGAATTAGAAGGATTACACTTTTAGTTTTTTTTTTTAATACATATCTAATAACTAATTATTCACCAAACAGTTTGGGTAATATGCTAATTCAATTAGTTTGTCGAGTCTTCTAATGCAACAATA